GCAAAATCAACCGGCATGACGAAGAAATCAAGTGCTCAAGCTTTCTAAAGTGATGCTCTCACTTAATCCACTCTCCTTTTACTCAAAACCCTAAGGGAATCGAAGATTAGAGCAAAAGGGGAGGAGAGGGGTGCTTTAGTTGCTTGGGAGCTGTTGAGCATGAAGTGGGTCAGCTATGAATGAGTCTGTAACGGTTAGAAGTGAAGAGATGGGTATTTATACTCTAAGTAGAAATCTAACCGTTCAGATCTACGTCGGAAGTTCCGACGCAGATCTTGGGACTTCCGACGTTTACAGAAAACACTGTTCACACAGGGTCATAAGTCCACGCGTGTAAGTCAATGTCGGAACTCCCAGCAAATGTCGGGACTTTCGATGGTCGGAACTTCCGACGTACGTTGGGACTTCCGACGTGCGCAGTTAAACACCCAGCCAGCCCGCAACAGGTATTGGGACTCCTGACATGGGTCGAGACTTCCAACGGTCGGAACTTCTGAGGTACATCGAGAGTTCCAACGTGCACAGACAGCCGGCCAGCAGAACCACCGATGCTGGGACTCCTGGCTTAGGTTAGGACTTCCGACTATCGGGAGTTCCGACTCATGTCGGGACTTTCGACGTCCACAGTCACCGCGCAGGCTAAGTGACTAGGAGTCCGAACTTCCGGCAAGAGTCATGACTTCCGACTGTTGGGAGTTCCGGCTTACGTCGGGACTTCCGACACCGACAGTCACAGAAAATTATTCTTTGTGCTCGTGAAGTACTAGAGTGTCTCTCTTTTGATTTTATTTTTATGCTTGAGCACTCTATCTTCCTCAGACCAACTAAGTTTGCATCTCTCTTTATAGTGCGGCGGATCCTAAACGCAAAAACAAAATTAAAATCTTTGGAGAGCGTTTTGAGTTCGTCCGCCTTTATAACTTCAAGAATTGAGGGATACCATTTCATTTTTATCAACTCTTTGAATCTTTCATGGGACTAATAGCTACGACATATCTCATTAAGATCACATTAGTCCCTAATTTAGATGTCATCAATACACCAAAACCCACATAGGGGGTAAATGCACTTTTAGGAACCCACGACAAGAAAGCAACGAGCCTTTCCTGCTCTCATAAACAAGTATGTGCACGGGATAATAAGCCTGTGACCTGACTAGAATCCAATGCAACGACCGATCCTTAACCGACATGGACAGGGAAAATAGTGTAACCAAGCTATGCCCCATTGGCCACGGGACACAACCTCTTACACTCACCAATACCCGTACCATATCCCTGTCCGGCCTCCATTTCCTTTCACTATTTTATCATGAGTGATAATAATAATCACCTATTGTGAGTAACGGCAGGTTACTCACGCTATCGATAGCCTAAGCATAGCAGCCACTCGACCTATGCTAGTAGAACTCATAGGTAGGTTATCTATGCATGTAGTTTTCATAAAATGCCTGTAACATAAATGCACATCACATATATATATCCAGTGATTATTTAAAATAAGAGTTATGCACCGGGGCTTGCCTTGGGTAGTCACGGTGTCAGCTCAGTCAGTCAGTGGTGGCTCCAGGACCTCCTCCTACACGAGGATCACCTCTTCGTACTCCTGCTCGCCCGTGGTCACAAACTCCACCAACTCGTTCTCTACATGCATGCAATGACGATGTAACACTCAATATTAAGGCAACAGTAGTTCTTAAAATAAGAATGCATCTACTAAGCCACTAAGCTAGCTCTAATGACTAAGATACCAAGCTAATCATCATTCCCCTCAAACCAGCAGGGTTTCACCTACAAGTGCTACTTAGCCATTAAAATATATCCTTACTCTTATTAACGATTTCCTATATACTACAACAAAGGGCACTTATCTATCATATTTCTCAACTGATTCTAAGGCTACAAAAATTACAGTAAGCACATAATAATACATCGAATCTACTATAAAAATTTCATGGTCAAAGCTATTACCAATTTGCCACAAAAATTCCTACAAATACTAACCTAAATAATACTAAACACTCACAAATGATTTAATAGCCACTAGTATCAACACATACATGTATGAACTAAATACACTAACAGATAGAGCACAATTTTAGGAATCTAATAAAATTGGTTTCAAAATTTTTGGACATCTACATGATTTTATATGATTTACCAAAGTTTGGCACAGAATTACAAATGAAAAGCTATTTCTATTTCCCACGAAAAATCTAAACCGATTTCGGCCCACGCGGCGCAACACGTGCGCGCGTGAGCATGCAGCGGCCCACACGCGGAGGCGGTCCACGACGAGGAGGCCTACATGCGCTGGCATATATGCAAAAACGCCCTTGGACTATGAGCAAAACAACCCACAGTCACGTTACTATTCCTAGAGACAGCACTTATGTAAAAGAACCCTCGGACCTTTCTCCTCTTTACAACGGTGAGGCCCTCGGCCATCCCCGCATGCTCCAGCGCGGCGAACAGTGGCACAGGCGCCTACGCCAGCCACGCGGGACCCCCGCTGACCTAGCTACGAGGCCGACGCTCACCTGGGGTTCGACGCGAGACGATGGGCGGCGGTTGCGTGAGCCGGGAAGCCATAGAATGACCTCTCCATGATGGTGGACACCCTACGGCAATAGCGACGGCATTCAGGTGAGCCGCAGCAACAATCAAGGTAGTAGAGCAGCGGGTGAGCAATGACAACTCACCGGTGACCTTATCAAGAAGCCGGCTCGGCCGAAGATGACCCGAGCGAGGCTGGCTACGTGCACGCGGCGGGGTGAACGGCGGACCGCTAAGGCACGGCCACGTCAGCGGTGAGGAGGCGACACAAAAGCTGCGACTAGCGTGCGCACAACAAAGAGGAAACCAAGGCGAGCTAACGGTGCAAAGGAATTGGCACAAGGTAAAGTGGTGGAGACTGGCCACGATGCGGGCGGCGACGAGCCTTAACGGCACGGTGGCGGCAAGATTCCAAAATTGGAGCTTGGCGTGACACGAGTCAAGGCGGGGTGGGGTCGGATGGAGAAGGGGCGTGAAGGCGGAGACGCGAGCACGAGGAATTGATGAGAGGTGCTCGCTCTCTGGCTTCACCACGACGTGACACGACGACAGCAGAAATAGAGGGAGGGAGAGACAGGCGTGGTAGTGGGTTCGGCTCGTCCACTCCTTGGCAGGACGCGAGCAGCGGACTGGGAGGCCCACGCACCGGTGACCGTGCCTACGCAAGGAAACCGACCGAGGACGTGCCATGCACGCTTTTTAAAGCATCCAAAACAACTAATCGGTTGGCCAAACACCCAAATCATCTTCACCATACTTTAGAGGGTACATTAGGCTACTAAAACAGACCATGACACTACTCGGTTTCTTAACTAATTTTTCTACAAAAATTGATGAACAAAGCAATGTCTACCCTTTACAAAGTTCAAGAAATTTTCTAAGTCCTGAGTTGAACTCTATTTCAAATTGTATTTCTAAGCTATTGGAAATCTTAGCTAGTACTATCATTTTTTGACCGCAGGTATTTTATTACCATCTACAAAGTTTGTACCTCAAACTTTATTCAAGTATCACATACATGTTCTATAGCATTTTTGCTTAATAAAAATTGGTTTTACACCCTAAGTGATATAATATGACTATGCAATTAACTTTCATTTTGCATTTCTGTTGATCATTTTGAGCTACGAAAATTGATCTACACACTCTATTACATGCATTAACACATAAATATGATGCTCTTGATCTGTTTTAGTAAATGATTTACGGTGTAACACCGAGGGTGTTACACTCAGGGGCCCGCACGGTGACCCACGGCGGCGCCTCCAGTAGCAGCAGGTAGCAACGGCAGGCCGTTGTCCGCCAGCCACTAGCGCCATTATTGCAACATGTATTCTCTCAGATCTACTTTTGAAACATCTAGATGAAACACTTGCAACATAAGTCTAAAACAGATGAAACATTCAAAACATAAGCTTGAAACATATGCAACATCGAGATCTACTTATGCAATATCTATATGATACACTTGCAACATGAGTCTGAAACATCAGAAACACTTGAAACATACGCTTGAAACATGTGTATAGAGCCATAGCAACATATGCAACATCTAGATGAAACACTTCAAACATACATCTGAAACACTTGAAACATATGCTTGCAACATATGCAACATCCCAGATCAATTTGCAACATTCATATAAAATACTTGAAATATAAGTCTAAAATGTCTGAAACACTTGAAACATAGTGTCGCCACGTGGCCACACCTACGTGGTGGGGAACTCCAGTAGCTAACAAGCTCGAGTTAGAGGGATGTTGAGAGCAACGGTCCAGCATACACTCTAGGTACAGTGCGTAGGCCTCTCCTTCCTAACGACGGGTGCGCTGAATGGGGGCACAAGCACAGGCTTCCCTGGCGCGTAGGCCTCCAGTGCCTCTCCTTCTGTGACGGGCGAGGTGGATGGGGGCAAAGGCGCGGGGCCTGAAGTAGCGCGGGATGTGGCCGGGCACGACGGCGGAGAAGAAGGCTGCGAGAGGCGCAGCGGAGCGGCGCAGTCGCGGCGTTGCGGTGATTTTGTTAAGAAATTGCGGTGCCTGAAGAGGGGCGGATATAGGAGCGAATAAGAAAGCCTCGTGGGCATCACGGCCCACCAACGAGGCCGTCCGTTTAGACGGACGTCTGGGACAAAGCATTACTGTTTTTAAAATCGCTCACAGAGGTAAATCAGAAGACGGTGTTAAGAGTTGGGGAGTCTAAACATCATATTTTCCAAATATAAGTGTGGCAAATCGAACTCGCGTATTAGTTGACCAGATAGAGTTTTCCGAAAACAAAATGCACCTAATGTTTTTATTATGGGCCTGGCCTGCTTCCTCCTAGTGGTTGTTAATGGGCTCCTGGGCCGAAGCAGGGTCCATGCTACTCGTCTCGTCTTCTTCCTCCGTCCCTTCTTCTCCTTGGCTGGCCTTTCCGCGCCGCAGTCGTTGGTTAAGGCGGGGATGGCGGCGCCGCTCCTCTTCTACGACCTCAGCCTCCTCCCGTCCTCCTTCTCCTCCTCCGGTGACGGCGGCGATGGCAACTCCAACTCCTCTTCCTCCTCCCGCCTCCAACTCTTAGCCCGCCACGGCGCGCGCTCTCGAGCTCGGCTACGCCGCCGTCGCTCTCGACCACCCCCCCACCGCGGCCTCCTCGCCGACTCCCACCGCTGCCGCACCGAGCCTTTCGCGCCCCTCTCCTCTCTCCCGCTCCCATCCTCCGCCGCTCTCCATCGCCGCCGCCTCGCCTCCCCCGCCTCCGAGCCCTTCCGCCAGTACACCCGCATCACCCTCTCCCTCGATTCCGCTGCAGCCACCGCTTCCGCGCTCGCCCCTCCGCCTCCCGCCTCCTCCGCACCTACGACCTCGTCGCAGCCCGCCCCTCACCCAGGCCGCATTCGATCACCTCTGTCAGGCACCCCTCTCAGCTCAACACCTTGATCTCATCTCCATCGATTTCTCCTCCCACGGTAAGCTGCCCTTCCGCATCAAGCCCCCAATGCTCAAGCTTGCCCTGCAAAAGGGGCTGCATTTCGAGATTTCCTACTCCCCACTCATTTCTACTGACGTCAATGCCAAGAGGAACCCTCATAGCTGAAGTCAAGGTCAATGTTATTCTACTCGTACCCAATGACCCAACATTGTTTTCCCTTCGTGATAACGCCTTGCTCTCTTGAGAAAATCATCTATTTTCAGACATCATATGGTACATACAACTTTTATATATCTATAATAATACATTCTATTTTCAGCTTTTGGTGGACTGGACTAAAGGAAAAAATCTCATCATCTCAAGCGCTGCTCATACTGCTTCCCAGATCAGAGGCCCCTATGATGTCATCAACCTATCTGCTTATTTACTTGGCATTCCCATTGACCGAGCAAAAGCTGCTATGTCCACAAACTGCAGGTGAGCTATTCTTTTGTCAAGCCCCTTGTCTCAGAAATCATGCATGGTAGCCAGCCATTCTGTCAATTTACGCTACTGATTGGGTTAGTTTTGGCTCGTGCAGTAACCCCTGTGCAAAGAGCATCTTTTGCTGTTAAAATATATCAGCCTTTTATTTTATTGAGTTTCAGCTCTCTGATTGCAACCTGGAACCAGCCATTCTGTCAATTTATGCTACCTACTTTCCATTTAAAAATACAGCAAATGTTGCTTGAATTGTGATGCGATTTTGTGCCATATTCTCATTGGCAGGTCACTTGTTTTCAAGGCTATAAGGAAGAAACACTTCTACAAAGAAACAATTAGAGTTGCCAGACTATTACCAAATGAAGAGTTGACTTCAACAAAATTCAAGCTTGCTGATTGGATTGGTTGGAATTCTGTATCGTCTGAAGTAGGAGCAAATCAGCTGGAACCTTCTTCCAACCTTGATGAACTTCCTGGTTCACCCATATGTGGTGTAATAGAAGGTTCACACGAAAAACCTCACAATCCTGATATGTCTGTCTTTGCTAAACTGTCAGAACAACCTAGTGATCAAGATCAAATCCCATCCGAAACTCAAGAAGAGACACTACAAGTTGACAGAACTGAAGTCCTGACAGATTGTGACCAATCTATCTTGCCAGCATCTTTCAATTATCAGAATGCTATACTTGAGAAGGCCGAAAACAATGAAGTTTTTGTGAATCCTTTTGTGCAGCCTGGTACAGGTTGTTTTGCTGACCCAAAAATTAACTCCAAGCATGTTGAATTCGTGCAGGATGCAATGGAAGTAGATACAATAGAATCATGTAGGCCAAAACTCGTTGTCGGTGACAATATTCCTTCAACCTCTGATACTAGTGCGAAGCTAGCATGTTCTGCTCTTCCCCATGGCATAGAGCTTTCTGGTACTAGTCTTGAGGATCAGGGGCCAAGTCACTCTAGTGAAATGCTAGCTAATGATAAGTCTTATATGAAATATCACACTGATTGCACCTCTGGTGTGAGTGAGGTTCATGAAATTTCTTCTGGTGCTGATGTTTGGCCTGAGGACAAGGATTCAGACAGGTCTAATGGAATGCAAGCTGATAATGTGGCTTGCAGAGGTACTTCGGAACCACTGGAGTGTCCCCTATGTGGGGTAGATGACAAGGCACCATCTGATCTTTCATTTCACTCAAGTCATGAATTATGCAGGGATGTTATAATTCAGCCGAAAGTTATGGAGGGAAAAGTAGAGCAAAGTAGGGATGAAAACATAGTACAAACTGTGGAAAATGAAGCAGAATCTGTTGACACAAAAACAAGAACATCTATTTCAGTGGAACCTGCGTCCCATGGTCAGGAGATCAGCTCAACTATTCATACAAGAAGCACTGGTGCAAGCTGTGAAAGTGATGAGCTGAAAGAACAGAATTCTAAGGACATAAATGCTTCTTTGGATAAAAGTATTGCTAAAACACATGAGCTACTTCTAAAATTTCCTTATCCAAGTGGTAAGGCTGGGATGTCCACAGTCAGATCAGGTAAGATATGATGCCTTGACTATTCTTTTTTTAAAACAAAATTTGGAACACTCCTAATCTTTCTACTCTTTAATATTCAGAATTGTTTCATTTATTTACGGTGCATACTGCCGTTTTGTGTTGCATACCTTTTTTTTCTCTGTTAATTCTCTAGTTTCTTGAGATAATACAATGGGGTTTCTGTCATCTTTCTTTTATAAGGGAAAGGCAATCAGAAGGATACTCCTTGTTCCTTGCCTCGTTTACATATTTTGTTATAGATTAAAAATAAACTTCCTTTTGGAGAGGGGGGGGGGTTATCATCTTGTTTCGTGAAAAGGATTTGATTCTGTTGAAAACAAAAAATAAGTTGATATTATATCTATCTTCTAAACAAGTCTAAATTATTATTGGTTTTGCAGAAAAGCGAAGACATAAACTAAGGCCGCACCATCCGGCTTATCTTCCTTTCTTGGGCTTCCTTCGGTCCGTTTGTTTCAAGAAGAAAATATGCAAAGTAAGAGGACTAATCAAACGTGCATGAGGTTTTATTTCACTCTGACAGGAGTTTGCTGTCAATTACCATCCCTGAATCATTATGTTACAAGGGAAGATCAAGAAATCTCGTTTTAAAGTTTTGATCTGAAATGCAAATCCATTTACCAATCAGTTGTATTGTACATATGGTCATATGGAAAACAGAGCCATACCTGAAAGGTGGAAAATTTTCTTTTTTGGTTCGTCCATATGTAACCTAGGTCTAACTTTCCCCAGTGGCACTACAAATCTCAACTTTCATGTTTTGTACAGCAAAACTCTCCTTTTGGTTCCTACTTTCATGTTTGGTGACTTTGATCAAATTAACCTTGGACAAATTAAGATACATACTGATCTGACCAATGACTAATGGGACTGGCAGTTTCACCTGGCTCACTACCTTTAATACACAAGCTCATGAAATCTGGTGAATATTGCAGTAGATATGTTTTAAGTTTGACCATTGACTGATAGTACCATGGTTCTGGAAATAAAAAGAAATATAGGTTAGGGAAAACTAGTGTTGGTTTTACTGTTTCGCAAATGTGCAAAGTTGCAGTAACAATCTGATTTATCTTTTTTCACTTAGCAGGCTTAGTAATTCTGCATTAATTTGATTCTTATTAGGTAGTTACATTCTTACCAAGTATTGTTGACTTTATTGTAAATGGAACAGAAACATTTGGCTGCATGCTTGCTCATGAAGTGTTCTGTCATGCTAACGCTGAACGCTGAAATTAGGAGGATATTAAACTATTAGCTCAATCCTTTGATCAGCCTGCCATGGGTCTATCTGACACTTAATTCTTCACTGCCTGTGAAACATGATTTCATATATTCTTGTTGAAATAGATATTGTTGGCATTTGTTGCTAGATCCTTATTACAGGATGCTCTACACTAACAAATGTGTATAATCATCAATGTTGGTGTATGCATATGTACCTAAAAGAAAATCCATTTGAAAGTGTTTGCATGTCTAGCCTTGAAACACCTTACATATAGCACCTCAATTGGAGCAGCTTCTTCCTTGCTTAACTGAAAATAAACCTGCACGTGACCACCATGTATGGCCATTATGTTATTCTTAGGCTTTGTAGGCTCTCTGAAGTAGCATTATGTTATTCCTACTCATCCTGATATCCTCTATACCTAACAATACTGAAGCAGTAAAAATGTTATGTTTTATAGTGATTGCCTTGAAATAATATGAAGCAATGGCTACTAAAACTGGATTCATCATATAATTTTTTTATACAAAATGTAATGTCATTTTAGTACCTGGCACGGTGGAGCCTGCAAATATAAATTTTTGTAAACAGACATTGTAGCATATGGTGCTCCCATGTTGCCATAGTATAGCAAATCAACTACAAGATGAACCAGCTATGCTGTTCTCAAATGCCTCTGGAAAGATTGAGTTGGATGTGCATATTTCTTGTTTTCTTTCATTTGTACTTAGTATTCTATGGATGTAGTTTAGGGATTAAACATGAACTACTAACAATTTTCTCTTTAAAGATAGACTGTATTGAAAGGGAAGATAAGTGCAGATAAAGTACAGTAAGCTCCGCTTGCATTGCTGTGGCTTTTCAAAAGCATTTGTTTCCTGATTTTGGATGCAGTAACAGTTAATAGCATTATTTTTGGAGGCCAAACAGCAATATCCTATTATAATGGTATAAGATTCCACTATAACTAGTTAGCTATTACAGCATAGCACATGAACCATGAAATGACCATGCTTCTATTTGATGTGAAAAGTTTCTAGAGACCATGATCGTGATAAAAAGCCATAGCCATACCCCACCACACTTGCACCTGGAGGAAGATTTGGGGCAGGACCAAAATCTTTCCTCCATATGACACATCCCACCAGAACGCGAGGTCTTATCAGCCTCCATCTATGTGGCCTCCTTCAGCTAAAGCTTATTACATTTGAAATGGCCGGTTGGTTATTCTTAACTTCATTTCATTTGAATAGTGATTTGCAATTTTATATTAGGCATCCTATTGGAGTTAAATGAACTTCTCTGTACTTGAATACCAATTATTTCAATAGCTGTGTATCTATGTAGTCTGTCAATAAATTCTCCGTGCACATCAACTAAACAATCATTGCATCACCACTCATGCTATAGTGGTGTGACTATTCTTATAGTTGACCTAGTAGAAGAAAAGGAAAATCTAGGAGAACTGCACGCTATCCTATCACTCCCACTTGTTTTCATTATCTTACATGAATGATTTGTTGATGTGTTGCTTGACAAAGAGGCATTGGGTTATGAAATACTTGTTTTTCTCTTTCTATGCAGTGAAGTGTCAGTGGTTTAATGTGCGGTTGCTTTGGTATCTTGAAATCGATGCAGGTGGCATGTAAAAGGAAGTCGTAAGAATTGTGGTGTGCACAAGCAATTTGGCTCATGTCAAAGGACAATAGATCTATGGTGCCCTTTGACTTTATCTTGTCGGTTGGCTAAGGCCACTTCAAGTCGTCAGGGCATATGGCTATGTCAACGTGACACGCAATTCTTGAGTGGGCTACTGTAGGGATTCACGAGAAGCTGCGGCCACAATAGGAGCAGGGAGTGCTGGGATTGGTGCAAGGACACTCCAGTGATGTTACCAACCAATTGCCAACTGAAAACAGCGTCCTGGGTCAATAGCAGGAAACTTGTGCCCCATAGTTGCTCGAAACAAAACTGATTCTTGTGGGGCTCAGCCTTGCTGTAGGCTGCATTATTCAAATGCGGTATCATACCATTTCTTCCTTCCCCACCAAAAATCTTGCGAGATGTCACTTCTGATTTTGGAAGCTCATCATATGAGCCAGTGCGGTGGACTTTGTAGGGACAAAGTCTTTTCAAGGGATGCTTTTGCGTTTAATTGCGATCATCATTTGGTGAGCTTCCTTTGCAATGACCTTTGTTTCTCGAAACCTGGGTGTAAATGAACTAAGAGCATCTCTAAGAGCATCTCTAAGAGTTCCCTAAACCCTCTTCTAATTTTTTTTTTTAGAAAGATAAGGAAAACCCCTCTCCAACAACTCCTAATCTTAACTCCTAAAATTTTAGACACTTCGGAAAAACCGAGCCAATCCGCGTAACTTTACGCGCACCTCCGACTCCGCGTATCTTTCCCGACGGGCTGTGGTGATGTCTTCGCCGTCGTCGCTGCAACTGCGATCCCCCTCGTAGCAGCAGCTGTAGTAGTCGCCGTCGTCGACGTGCATCATCGTCGCCGGGACGCCCCCGTGACCGCTCCTTGCTCAGCGGCACCGACATCATCGTCGCCACAAAGCCACCGCCAGTCCGCCGGCAAACCGGCCGCCGTGGCCGCCGCCACGTCCTCCGCGTTTGGGGGCGCGCGTTGCCCGCTCTCGAAGATCTTGCTCCACCACGCGGCCACGTCCGCGGCCGCCGCCTCGCTGCACTCCACGCCCTGCATCTCGCCGCCGGTCGATGTCTGCTGAGCCATCATCTCCCCGCCGTCCAGCAGCACCAGGACAAAAGCCGCTGCTGCTGGCGCGTCGATCACCGAGTGCTTCTCGTTCTCTGCATCTGTTGCACTGAGCGCCGGTGACGGTGATCCATGACCACAGGCATGGGTGGTCGCCGTCTCTATTGCCGGAGGTGAGTACGAGTACGAGGCTGCCGGTGATGGTTGGGTCAATGGAAGGCCACGCAGATCTTCACAGTCGTCCTTGGCACCATCGTCCACAGAGACACCAAAACCTTGGAAGCTAAGGTTCAGTCCCAGCGGCTGTGCAGGCAGGCTGCGAACCAAACGCTCCAAGCCGCCTTGGTATTGGTGGTGCTCCAACTCCACCAATCCCCCCATGGCGGCGGCTGGACTACGGCCACGTGTACGCGTCCAAAACCTTCTTCGACGCACGCCACGGCCGGCGCGTGCCGTGGGCGTGGGCCAACGAGTCTGACAGCCAGGCCGACGACGTCGCCAAGGGCTGGTCCGGCGTTCAGGTACCCCGTCGGCATGCTTGCTTGCTTCCTTGCTTGCTCCGATCAGTCTACACACTCACTCACTGCTCACTGGCTCGTGCGACGTACGTAGATGTTTTTAGATACTATTTATTAGAAACTCTCGGAGACTGGACCTTCTTTTTTCCTCCTCAAATCTTTTTAGGAGTTGTCAAACTACAAATTTTTAGGAGAAAAAAGTAGAGAACTATTGGAGATGCTCTAACTACATGGAAAATCTTGGGAGATGTCACTTCTGATTTTGGAAGCTCATCATATGAGTCCCAGTGCGGTGGACTTTGTAGGGACCAGTCTTTTCGTGGATGCTTTTGCATTTAATTGCGACCACCATTCGGTGAGCTTCCTTTGCAATGATCTTTGTTTCTCCAAATCTGGATGTAAATGAACTAACTGCATGTGTTGCTTACCTTTGCATATGTGTCCTGCATCACATTACTCTGACTAGGGAACTAACTGCATCACATCACATTAATCAGGCAAATATTTTGCATGTTGATCCCCTCCCCAGAACCTGGACCCATACATGGAGTGGTAGTGGATGGTCCTTTCCCTTAGTTGCAGTGTTGTCAGCTGCAAGTTGAGCATGTGTCTGTCCTGGTGTAACAGCAGCACAGGGCATATGGGATGGGAGTATCATTTTAAGGATACCAGTGGAACCGAAAAGGTATAAGCGATATCTCCAACTTACTCATGTCTCCTTGAAAAATAGAAATTTAGATAGAATCATGAGCACTATTTTCCTTAATCATTTTCGATTTCCAGCGTTGGTGTTGCTCATGTGCTGTGCTCACAATCTATTGAGATTCTCATTGTCAGAACGTACACATGCATTGTGGTTTTGGTGCTAGCTGCATTGATCCAATTCCTTGGCGCATAACATGGAGAATTCCTGCCTGCATTGTGGTTGTGCAGTGCACGCCCAAAATTCAGTAAAGCTGCTGCTGCGCTTGTATGCGCACCAGCTTACTATTGTTAGGTTGTGGCAGCTAGCCGTGGATGCAGCACTAGCACCTGTACATGGCTCATTGTGTATGTATGTATGTTGGTCTCCATCTCCTGCTGTTGCATGTGTTTGTTCAAGTCTATAAAACCCAAGAGGGCCTGCCTGCCTGTCAGCTGTCACCACATACTACCGATCGAGATACATACATTAGCAGCACCCATAGGCCACAGCCATGTATCAGCAACACCATCACTGGGCAAATTCCACATGTTATTGCGTTGATGGTGAGCTCAAAGCTGGTGATGCGATCCTTTCCTCTCGGCCAGACGCCTTGCTTGCCGATGGAGGAGCATTCCTGCCTTCTCCATTGCCGCCGCCGCCAGCGAGCTACATGCCTCATCACTATTCGCAGCAGGCCCCTGCCATTGTTCCTCCACCCATGGACAGCCAGCTGCACGCCATCACCCACTTGTCCCAGGCGTCGTCGTCAGACATGGCTGCAGAAACGTCCTCGTCGACGTTTCGCCGGGCGTTGAGCACGGGAGACCTCATCGTCCGGGACCGGGAGGAGGAGCAAAGGGTGCCGGTGGCGGCAAGGTACAGCGCGGAGGAGCGGCGGGAGCGCATCGACAAGTACCGGAGCAAGCGCAACCAACGCAACTTCCAAAAGAAGATCACGGTCTGCCTGCTGCAACATATATATTGGTTTGGTTGGTTTCAGCTAGCTATAGCTGCTTCCTCTAACATACGCAAATGAATGGCGGCGCATGAAGTACGCGTGCAGGAAGACGCTCGCAGACAGTCGTCCCCGGGTGAAGGGCCGCTTCGCGCGCAACGGCGGCGACTACACAGAGACGGAGGCGGATGCAGTTGCAGACCACCATGTTCATGTCCCAGCAGCAGCAGAGTCAGACTCGCCGGAGGCAACAGCAGCAGCGCCGGAGTGGTGGCCGGCAGTGCAGGAGGAGGGCATCAACCTAGCAGAGCTCTGTGGCGACGACGACGAGATGCTGGCCGCCTACCTTGGAGTCTCCTCCATCAGTATAGCTGATCATCACTACAGCTGCCACCCATAGATAGATAGATGCATCATGCATGAGTAGAAATGCTGCTCGCTTTAATTTATATTTTATATATTGCTTTTTCCCTTGTGCTAGTTAACTTCATATACATCTCTGCACGGAATTTTCTTTTACTAGAAAGAAATTTGATATTGCCTTTCGCTTTATTTTATATATAACTTTTCTTTTATATATTGCCTCCTGCTCGTTGTTTATTTCCTGATCAATCGTATCCATGAGTGTGATGCACACAAGACAACATTTGTGTACTAGTCTTGTACATACATGATTTAAGAGCTTTGTTACTGTACTCCAGCGGTTCCTCCCTAAAAAAATATTGCCAGCAGTTAATTGTACTCAAGGTTACTTTAGTACTTTTAGCCAGTCATTAACTCTAATTGACGTTCCTTTTTCTTTAGCGCATGAAATTCACGATCTCAAGACCACGCCGCCGCCGCCGTCCGCGTCGCCGGCGCTCGCCTCCCTGAGTCGTAGTTGCTCCCACCTGCTGTTCGACTTTAAACTGTTGAAATATCTGGTTCCCAATCCATGTATTGCTGGTATATCTTCCGGTGTGGTGTACACGTGATTTGCTGTCAAGTCAGAAGGTTGTTGCGGCTCCTTAGGTTAGACTCTAGTTTGTTGTAGTCCTGTATTGTAAGTCAGTAGAGATAGAGATAAGATGTATCAAGATGTAAGCCACGCCAGGGGCTTTTTTTAGCTCTATTTAACACGGAGCCGTACGTGACCTGAAAAGGATCACGTTAATTACCACCATTTTCACATAAACCTGCCACGGACATGCCGGCCGCCGCAAGGCGAACCTGAGGGCTCGGTACTTTTGCCTATCAAAGCCAAAGCGCATGGAGCGGTGGGGCTCCTGGGAGGAGGCCGCCGATGTGATGGGGATCACAATGGATGGCGGCATGGCGCAGACCGGGCTGTGACTGACAAAATGAACCACCTGCACCCAACCATCCTGGAGAGGCAGCGAGCTCAATTGCAAGGCAGATTACGGTCAATCCCAACTCAGCAAATGGAGGTTCTTTTTTTTTTAAACAGAACTGGCAGGAGAGTGCCTGTTGTATTAAAAAGAAGGGAGCCTAGAAAGGCACTATACAAACATATACAATTGTTTATAAAAGGGCAAAAAAAAACCCGACACGCCCCACCTCAGATGGCCTCAAATCACACGCGCATTTATAAATTGGAGATATGCTTCGCTCCCGCCGTTGCCCACAAGCCAGCCTCTTCCTTGATCTTCCGGAGGAGATGCATTGGTGTGGATTCTTTACGCTCAAAGATTCTTGCATTTCTTTCATTCCACACCTCCCAACAAACAAGAATGATAATGGAGCGTAGTCCTCACCTCGCCGTCGAAGGTGTTCGATCTAAGTTTTCCCACCAAATTTGTACGGAGTCTCCTAGCACCCAGATAGATGGTCGGAGGTGTTCGTTGCCTAGCCATATTGCAATGCCCTTCCAAATACGCCTAGTGTAACGACAGTCTTGAAAGAGATGGACTTCAGATTCTTGACTGTGTCTGCAAAGAGGACACACACCCAGAGAACTTGCATTTTGGTGGCGCCCAGACTTTCCAAATCAGTCGTTTGAAATTGGTTGTCGTTGATCCAATGAATTACGCGTGGTAGGCCGATCCTGTTGTAAATTTTCCATCCGGCATGAAATTCCAAATGATGTTGTCTTTCCTGTCTGATTGGAGCTGAAAGTGGTTTAGGGCGTGCCAAAGCTGGACATACTCCACAAAGTGTTGGGAAGTGAAACCTGCATGCCGTAGGTCTATGTCCCTAATCCAGGCTCTGTTGTGCAAAGCTTCGTTGAGTGACTTGTTTTTATTTTTTGAAATTTGGAACATATTTGGCGCTAGATCTTGTGGCCTTTGACCTTGGAGCCATGCGCTGCTCCAGAAGGATGTTCTCCTACCGTCGTCAACTGTGATTGATGTTGCCGCAGCGAATAGGAGCCTATCAGTCGTGTCACATGGTGTGTCTGAGTTGGTTAGCGGCCTTCTTTCTCCCTCCCATTCTTTCCACAGCCATCTAAGACGTAGTGCTCTTGCAAATTTTCCAAGATGTAGAATGCCGAGACCCCTAGATTCAGTTGGTCTTGTGGAACGTGACCAATTCACTTTGCATTCTCCCCCGGTTAGCTTCACGGATCCAGCCTAGAGGAAACTCTTTCTAAGGTTATCAATTTCCTTCAGCTTGGCTTTAGGAGCTCTTAGGGATGTGAGATAGTACACAGCTTGGGAGGTGAGTACTGCTTTGACTAAGGTGGACCTTCCTGCATGGTTAATATTCTTACCGTTCCAAATAGTGAGCTTGCTCACGGCCTTGTCAACAAGAGGCTGGAAATCGATCCTTTGCAATCTGGTGTTTGCTGGCAAGGCATTTGACGGCATCACCTCCTCGTAGTTCCACATGAGCCCGTGGCGATGAAGTCATACGCGTCCAGCAGCACTGGCCGGTGCCCAGGCCATGGTGGAAGTCATGTGCGCGCCGACGACACTGACGGTAATCAAGATGGAGAATCCCAATTACTATTATGTCCTTCCTATTAAATTAGGAACAGATTCTAATTCGGGTCCGCCACTTAAGTTCCATCTAATTGGTTCTTCCTATTTTAAAACCATTAGATCTTGCTAGATGAAAGGCTCTTATTATTTCCGAGCACTGTAAAATTTAACTTAAACATAAAATTGCCTGCATCAGCAGTTTATTTCCTTCTCAATGACTTTTGTTGTTTTATATCTTTTACATGTTTCATTTTTCATTTAACAAAATATGTATGTGACCTTGTTGGTACTGTGAATACACAAATCCAAAAGTTATGTTTTTCTCTAGAATGATATGTTACATCTCAATCTCCATTATGAGAAGAAATGAGATTTTATTTTTTCTACAAGTTTTCATAAGAGAAGAAGAATATAGATAAGTAAGGATCCACTTTTTTTTAGTGAAAACCAGGTCCAAAAGAATACACACACCTGCACAACCATTGCCTGCCTACACTAGATAACAACTTCCTGTCCCTAGCCAAGCCACACCCAACGTAGACGCACATAGCCATCGCTTAGCCTACCATGCCACAACGAAGCGTAGCATTGAACGATAGTCAAAACAACCCTATGTAGTGCCACCATAGTCGCACCACTCCTACGCGGCATGCGACCGACACGTGCTGACTTATGTCACGCGTTGTTGACCTAGCAGCAAGTCAGCCACACACATACACAAATGTAGTGTCACCGCCTGCCACATAAGTCGGGAGTGAGGTCTCTCTACCCATTACGGTATAGCCTATCATCTTCTCACTTTTTTTTTTACTTGTGGAATGGATGAGTTGATCTAGCACTAACTTATTTGACACAAGCTAATAATTAGTATAGGTGCAAGAAATGAGGTCATTTCACTGAATTTGAGAGATGATCATGCTTCACATCACCTAGATTTCCTTTCCTCAAACCAAACATCCTAATAGATTATGCATGTCTTTTTCATCAGCTGTTAAGGTCCAACAGAGTGCATGAAAATAATAATAAAAAAGAACGTGAGATTTTAATTCATGGAGAGGCATAAGAGGAAACACGTTAGAGGAGACAAGAACACCAGTTATCATATATAACACGATCTAGCTAGTATATTTGTCGACGGATTGGCAAATGTGCTCTAGTATCCATATATACAGTGTATTTGCTATTATAAGTATATCATAGCCGGAGCTTGCATTCACATGTTTCTCTCACCCAATGATCGATACGATATATACTTGTAGTAGTTTCTTCTAGGTATATATATATATATAGCCACCACCAACTGCATGTGGTGGTTGTTCGACTTATCCAGTTATTATTAGTGTCTCCTAAGTTAACTCCAGAGGAAGGTAACTATGCAATCAAGAGTGAAAAAATGGAAACAAGGCTGGCTACGTATCAGTGCTTGATTCACTCTGGATCTTATCAAACGACGACATTTTTTTAGTATTATCATATATTGGAGTGGAGCACTTCTACTCCGGTCCTCATGTATGATTCCATTCACTAGTGGCACAGCCTGCTAGTATCAGTCATACATTGGATGAATCTGAAGAACACATACATACACCTAACATCTTGAACAAAATATGCATACAAACAGAGAGAGACCTTTACCATTAACTCCTCTCAACCTTCTTGATCAATATTACTTGACCAAACCTAGCAGGCTCCAGAAAGCATTGATCCTCCAACTGCAGATTTTAATGGTTCAATTCCAAGACACCGCCCCACCTGAAACTTTGTCTATACAGCAATGATGCCCCTAGTTTATCGCGGCAAGAGGGGCTCTCTGTGTTTCGGGTGTCGTCGACCCTGCCAACTGCTGCTTCCCGTTTCCATTTACAGCAAGCTTCGTCGGTGTTCTGCTGTCCCAAAATGCTTTCACGAGATCTTCAAGGGGGGTTACCAACTCCCTGATCGATTGGCTGTCCGGAATGTTGATCTCACGCCTTCTCGGTGTTGAACAAGTTGCTTCATCCACCTGGCCCATAAAACACAGATTTCGATATTAGAAAAACAAACAACTATATATATGTGCAATGTGCATATATATATGCCCAGCAGACTAATATTGCTAACCTTATAATCATCTCCCAGAGATCTATCAGCATTCGCTGTTATTACTTTTGTCTTCTCATAGTGACCATGTTCCAAGTCATGAAGTTCTGCTCTAGATGTCATCACGATGGATTTCACATTGTTGCAGATACCATGGTCTAATTTTAATGAATCTGGCAAAGATATCAGCAATTTGCAGGAAATTTTAGACAACAGAAAATGCATGTGCTGGAAAAAGAAATATGTGCCACTGTGCGGAAATAGTACCGTCAATAGAACTAAGAAGGGATTTGCTTGAAATGTCACTATCTTCAAATCCAGCAGTGACAGCAGATGAAAACCTTGCATCCAGTTGGTTGCTCACCTCATTCCCAGCACTTCATTCAAAGGATGCACATATGTTTAGCTTACAACAAGTTCAAGTTGCTTCTCTTTAAACTATTTATCCAACAAAACAAACTTCAATTGTCAGTATCAATTACCTTATGACTGAACCAATGGCTTCTGCATTGTTTCTTCCAAGCGCCAACACCAAATTTTGTGCAGTAACCCATTGTTCTGAACATGATTCTACCCTTCCCTTGCTGTACAATAAATCATATGTGTTAGTTCCCATGTTCTAAGATTCTCATGAAATCAACAATTTAACTGTTGAGATAGACAACTTACCACTGCTGCAAATTCCCTGCCAAGAAGCATCGTTTCTGTTCAATAGATGATACATTTTGTTGGAATGCCTCTTCAGTTCTCATCATGTAGGCTTCCCATTGCTCTTTCATAGAAGATGTAAAATCATGAAGCTTGGTAGTTTCAGTTTGTAAATTGTTTGAACGCTCAGAAGCAGTCCTATTGAGGCTGCATATATCACCTTGAACCTGGTAAAATGACACACATATGTCACTCGGTCAGCTCAGTAGTTGGTTTTCAGCTGTTGCACAAGTAGATGTTTCTCTAAAGAAATTTGACTAGGATGACCAAATAATACATATGCATTGGTTTATGACAACAAAGGGCCACACAGTAGTGACCTATACATTATTAGGCATCCTCCAGATATTCAAGTGAATGAAATATACCATATTTTTCTTTCTAGCATTCGATTCTGCAAATAACCCTGCGACCTTCTCCATCAAGTACTTCTCTTCATCAGCAACAAAGGCCTGAATCCATTTCATTTCATCAGATAACAAATCATACAAATACATCCTTACAGACTAATGAGAAACTTACAGCTGCAACAGAAGATTACCTCAAACTTCTTCTGAAGCTGGAAGAGTTGCTTTTGATGTTCCATCTGTGATTCTTCCAGAATCTTTATGAGCTCCAATGCATGGGAATCTATAGTTTTAAAGAAGTTCATTGTAGTTGTCGAAACAGACTTTGTTCTCTCCAAATTTCTAGAGAGCCCCTGTATGAGTGCAACTTTTTCTTATACTACTGTAATCAACAATATGAGCTTAATAAATAGGTAAAAATTTAGCATTTTGTAATAAATAATGAACCTCATGCTGCTGCTCAATAAATGTAGCAAAGTTCACTTCTTGCTGAGAAAGCCCATTTTGTAGTGCAATGAGTATTTGGTCAGCATCAACCAACAGGCCCTTCATGCACTGCACACCAAAGAATTCTCAGTATGTGTTTACAAAAATAAGGAATAAAAATAAAAATGATGAGCATAATACGAGGATTTCAAGATAATTAAGTACACTTACATCCTCAAGGCCAGATGTGTGTGTGATAACTTGCGAATTAAGGTTTTCAAAGCTCAACACAGATTTATGCTTGAGCTCATTTGCAAAACCATGCAATTCTGCTATCCTAGAATTGAAGCTCTCTTTGAGCTTTCTTACATGCTCTTGAAGTCCTCCAGCAACCTAAGAAAATGCGGCATTGTTAGACTTATACCGACAAAGAATGAACTGATAACCACATGTTTGCTTTTTGGTGCACCTTGCCCTTTGAGGTGACAAAAGATTGCATCTCTTCTTCAAGTGATTTTAGTTGGCTCTCCTGTTGAGAAACCGAGGTTGAGACTGTTCTATGCAAGACACTAATGTCTTGAGTCAGCTGGGAATGGAAATGTTGAATTGTACTTCTATTTGTATCTTCAATCTTTTCCTTCCTTTCTGAAAATCAATACGAAGAATGAATATGAATATTTAAATTGAGAAAGGAAAGAGGGAGGGAGAAAGAGAAATGGAGGCAGACCTAATTTTGAAAATAGCCCATATAGATCCCCTGCTGTATTCTCCAGCTCTGATCGGAGTCTTTGTGCTTCACCAACAAGAACTTTTTCTGAAGACATTTAAGAAGGAAAGGACGTAAGAGAAATGGTAAGCACAATCACCTCAGCCAAAAATCTGAAAATTTTCTGCAAGTATGAAAATAACACGGTGCAGGTGTATCAAGGCAAAATGGAATGAAACAAACAGTATTTTAGTATTTTCCTCACATGCATTCTGTACACAGCAAGCTAGAGAACCTTGTCAAATGCTTAATTAAGCCTATGCAACACATTTCATATGCAAACTCAAATAGAAATCAATGAAGTCTTCATTATGATAAGCTTTGCCTTGAAGGGGCAAAATCTAACCTGATTTAAGAAGATTTTCTATCAAATATTGCTTCTCCTTAATAGTATTATTTGCCTTCATGTATTTCGCTTCAAGATCCGCTAGGGTGCACTCTGTTTCCTTCATTCTTTTCTGCAAAAAGATGAGAAGTTGTAAATACAAACATCATTATTCAATTTTTGATAGAAAAATGACAATACAAGTATACAGCACACATACCTGTAATGTCTCAAGTTGATCACTTAGATCTGCACTCAGAACTTTCTGAGAATCATAGAGTCCTTGAAGCTCTTCTAATTGCTGGTACAGTTACAGATTCCGAATTATAGCATTATTTTTTTCAGCAAGATACAGATCCTCTAACTGAACTAAAGGCATACCTTATCTTTTGAATCCAAAATAAGCTCCAAACGATCCAGTTTCTCTGACATAGCCTGAAGAACTCCTCTGTCATGCTATAGAAGAATATGCACAATCTAATATGTCATAAGTGATGAAGGGAGTAAGTACCTTCTTTTCAGCTTCATCTGCTAAGTATTGTTCCCTCGGAATATAAACACCATTTTTCTCCCTTGCAGCATACAGTTCTGTTCAAAAAGCGGAACCAAATTTAGTAACTGTACTAGCTTGAAGTATCTGGCTTTTTCAGAAAATTAAAATTGATGAACAATAATATACAGATAGTGATCGCAGATTTTAGTGTATCTACAACGAAGAACTAAAATCTAGAAATACCTCGTCTAGACTATGCACTTACAGATGTGCATCCGTGGTCTCTGCATTTTTCAAAGAACTGGAAGAATGTGGTAAACAATTTGATTTGATGACATAGATGTTCATCTTTAGTTAAACTGAGTAATTGTCATATTTTTAACAGTGTTCAGGTACATGGTGTCAAACAATTCTGACAATAGAGGAGATGAATAAGATGCAGTGAAGCATTCAGCACATTTGGTGGATTCTATAGTAAGATTCATCCAGCAGTAACCATGTTTCCCAGAATCATCTAATATTCAACCCATCTTTATTTCAAGAGCACAAGATTAACTCACATGCTCGGATGGGAAATGATCATGTTGTATTTTTCTGAAGTTCTCAACAATAAAGCAGTGTTGAATGTTTCTAAGAAGAAAAGGATACCTTGCTTGAGACGGTCCATTTCAAAGTACAAATCTTTGATGAGCGCAGATTTCATCATCTTTTGATTGACCTGGAAATCATGGGCAAGTTATTAAAATCAGTTATCCATGAGAGAGTTTACATTGCAATTAATGGTAATTTGACAATAAAAAAAAAAGTAGAACCTCTGGCTTATTCTTGATGTGTTTTGCACGATGCGCGTAATCCAGGGTGCTTAGCGTCTCCTCAAGGCAGTGTACTGAAGGTGAGATGGTCGCTATGATGCAAGTCTTTGTCTTCCCTCCCAAGGAATCTCTTAACAATCTTGTTAACTTGCTATCCCTGCATGAATAGTAGCCAAATATCAGATGCTTGAACAGCCTCAAGGAACAATCTGAATAGCTAATGTTTGCTTGACCTGTATGGTATGTGTCCAGAGTGCTCAACAAGAGTATTAATGACACGCCCAAGTGTAAGCAGACTCTTGTTAATTTCTCCTGCTTCGCGAGCTCGCCCCTATAAAAACAGAGGGCAACTATGTAAGTATTCTTCACTTGTGCAGCTTGAAGCTTGATCATGGTATTTAGTGATGAAGTGGAAAAGGAAACAGGAGCTCCCATAAAAAAAAACTTACGTCTCTAGCACCGGACCTAGATATGTTTTCAGAGCCAGCAAGGTCAACGAGATTAAGCTTTCCACACTTGATCATTTCCTCACCCTCATGTGTGCATTCCTTAATATGGATGGTGATAGAGAAAATAGAGTGTGAGCGACTGCTTTGCTTGTTGAGAAGAGTTTCAGCAGTTTTCCTCTTTGCAGAGCCTCTCTCCAGTATCCTGTAGATCTCGGCAGCCGAAGAAACTAGCTCTTCCTCGAGCCCTCTAACAAAGACTCCTCCCTTGCCATCCTCCATGAGCGCCATAGGCTTCTTGGACTTGTCATCAGAGAATTTGGATTCCTCCGGGGCTAGAAGGTCAGTGAGCTCCTCATTGTACAACTCAAGAAAAGAAACCTTCATGCTGTACTCTGCACTCTGTGCCTCGAGGATGTCAAATATGCGCTTAACAGCCCTTGGAATGACACCGGCATCAGATGGGAGGTCGCCGTTCTACAGAAATGCAGGTGGAGGGTGGAGTTATGACCTCAGTTGAAGCAGTAAACCAACTGCATCAGAGTTCAGGAACATGTGTAGCATGTGAATATATAAAATAAGAATTTACCAGTGCTTTGCCTCCTCCTCCTCCTTCCATTGTGTATGTTTTGCCAGTTCCAGTCTGGCCATATGCAAATATTGTGCAATTGTAACCGTCCAAAACCTCGCTGACAAGTGGCACAACAGCATGGTTGAAGACATCCTGCTGCTGAGACTTTGGTCCGAACACCTGCGTGTTTCCATTGGTTAGTGAGTGATGAATCAATCATGTGAATGCCTGGGTGTCATGTGGCAGTGATCAACAAGTGGAAGTGGTAAAGGGAAATAGAATAGTTGGCATGAGTTACCTTGTCGAATGCAAAGGTGCGATCAATTTGCTTGTTAGCGATGTTCTGGGCAACGGAAACCTCCCGTCTCTGGTCATTGCAAGTGACCACCACAGGAGTGCCGACGCGGCGTTCCTCCTCGCTCAATGGCCTAGGAATAGGATGCAGTGAGGTTGAATCGATGAGTAGTAAGTAAAATAAACGATGATATACAGTGGATCAATTGACAGGCATTGCATTGCATTGGTGGATCGATCAGACAGTGGCGTGTACTGGAAAAGCATAGTTGCAGTGCATTACATACTCCTCCACCGGTGACCTATCGGTTGATCGTGGGGCTGTCTATAGAAACGCTAGTATAGTAGATGCATGCATAGGTAGGAAGTAGTATTGATTACTGTAATTAGGAAGCAGTGGATATTACTATGGTAAAAAAAAAAAATTAATGTACCTGCATCTGAGGAGGACCTGGACGTTAACGCCTCCGGATCCGGACCCCTTGGAGGAGGTGGAGGTTTGCTGCTGCTGTGCTGCGGTCTGCTGGGCAGTGTGGATGCTGCTGTTGCTGCTGCCGTTGAAGAGGAGGGGGCCCCGATCCCGGTGCCTGCTTGTGGGGGGCTTGTGGGCGGAGGAAGAGGCGCCGCTCCTGGGCGTGTGGGAAAAGGAGGGGGACATGGCGGCGTAGTCGGCGGGGGCTCCGCCGCCTCGGCGAGGGGTCGGGGTGGAAGCCTCCATGGATGATTGATGAGATGAAACGAAACGCAGGGAGATGGACGGAGAGGAGGTGAGTGAGGATGAGGGGAAATGTGGAATCGACTGACTGGCTCCGTTTGATTTTGAATCGGAGAGAAGAATGCCCTGCCCTGGCCGCCGGCACCAGCAGCCCAGGTCCAGCCGAGGACTTGCCTCTTGGGCCCCGCACCGCACCACAGCCTCGGATTCCCACGGACCTGACGGGGCCTGGGGCCCACTTTGGGTTGCATTTGAACTCTCTGACCGTTGCACGGCGAGGGAGTGCGAGTTTCCTTCCTTCTTTTTTTTGCTTCGCACATTACTTATACTATTGCATGCACTTGTGGTAAGACACAGGTAAGCTCACGTTCGAAAATATATATTGAATCCTTCAATGCAGAATCAACCGAGCTGGCAGTCAAATAGTCAGGTAAGTAGTTGGTAATATTACACAACCATAGTAGATTAAGCATAGTTGAAGTAGCGATATAATGAGTACACACGGGAGTGACACGACGAAGTTTCTAAAGAGACTGATGTGTGTTTCCCAGGAGCCGTTGGTATATATGTACATAGGATTGAGATGGCAAAGCAATCATGGCCGCGTTTGATGTGATAAATATAACCTCGCACATCTCGCCAAATGATGAAGCAGCCATCTTGTTCCATGTTGTCACTCTGTGCAGCTGCAAAGACAATCAGTTTAAAAATAGTAGGTGGTTAGACCAGCGTGATCTCTCTTAATTCAGGTAGGATAGGGAGGAATGGTCGGTGCTTGGTAAACAGAAGCAGAGGGCTAAGAGTGTTACCAGTTCCTCATCTCCTCCTCAGTCGCAGTTGATGCAATTATAAAGGCCTGCCATGGCAGAGCACAATGCAGGATTCATTATCGCTCCCAAGTTAGTTACCCAATTAGCTACCTATGCATAATGCTACCTAATAAGAGGCATATCAGTTTCCTTCTTTTCTTTTCTTTTTTTTCTTTTTTTTGGCAAATGTATAGCCAAGAACTTCGGGATAATGACCAAATTGGTCCTTTAGCTAAATAAGTTGGTAAAATCTGAGTAAGAAAGAGGACCTGCACATGTTGCAAAAAACATTTGGTTCACCCAAAAATATCAAGTTGCACATAGCAAATCGAAAGCTATAGAAAATCAATGTAAACGCAAATATGGAAAAGTAAACGAACAGGACCTCAGAATTCAAATACCAACAGAATAGATATATGATCCCAATAAGTTAACATAGGACCATCGTGGTACAGTTCAAACTGAGACATTTATATATGACACACTGAGATAGTAACGAAAAGAACTTAAAATCTGCCATGTATAGAATTGTTTAGCAGAGGTCCAAAGATTAAAAAAAGAGGTGGGAATCAATGACTGGAAACTAAAGGGAGGAAATGAACACATGTTGAAAGTATGTCACTGAGACGTCGATTGCCAAATTTGACTTGTTGATAAGCATAGTGTAGCTGCCCTTTTGTGATATCAAATTGCGTTATTACTAAAACATAATACTGCAGCCACAAGCAAGGTTTATTTCCCTTGAATATCAACTAATGCAAACACCTAATACAAGCATGCAAGCACACTCCCTAATTTGACTCTGTTGCACATCTGCAGTGTGCAGTCA